AGGTAAATGATGGACATACAAGTTTTTGTTCTTAAGCAGTTGGTCTGACATCCCCCAGGGAGTCAATACTTACTGAAAGACAGCAACTCCCAGATACCCGATTGTCCACGAGAGCAGCCCCCCATGAGCCATTGTACAGCCAGGCAGGGTCCCTCACGGCAGGCTTTGGTGCTGGCCCTCCTCTGCCCTGCAGCACCGCAGCACGCACCCACGGGCCGCGGCGCTGGCTCTGCTCCAACCGCTGCTTCTCATGGCCTCTCCGGGCCAGGGGCTACAGCAGCACGTTCTCCGTCTCTGTTTAGTTTAGACGCTGACGGTAGTCGTATGAATAACCAGTCGCTGGGCTTGCGGCGGGCAGCGAGGCAGTGCTGTACTCGAGAGGTAAATTATTGCTTGTGGTGGAGAATGTGGGAGTCGCCATCAGGGAGCAAACACAACACCCACTCGCGGCCTCAGCTACGCCGCGACCTGCACGTCTTCCAGCAACCACCACTTTTTGTGCACCTCCGTGCCTCACCCTCAGTGCTGGGTGCAGCACCTGCCAGGAAATCAACCACAGTCTCAGACAGCACATAACCCACTGCACAGGCACCGCTGCTGGAACCAGCGGGAGCCGGGCCGTGTTCAACCCTCTCCATCCCACTTTGTACAGCAAGAAGCTGTCGGGCTTTCAGGAACGCAGGGACATGTGGAAAAGCAGCCCAGCCTCCTTGCTGTCACCAGGGCGCTCCGGCACACGCAACTCCAGATCCAGCTCTCAGCAGCTCTTGGGCATTTAAAGATGAGAGGCTCTTCAGAAAAAAGTAACCCTGCAGGGCACCATGTCCCCAGGGTACCAGACCTGCTACCAGTTGCGTTTGCAGTATGAGTCTCTTCATGAGCAGCCATCTAGTTTCCTTAGTTTGCAGCGATCCCATGGGTTCAGATGCGATGGGACCTCACTGCTCTGAAAAATCAGAAGTGAAGCTCCTCACAACTCCCTTTTGAGGTGGAAGGAGCTGGAAGGTGAGGAGCAGGACCTTCCTGCTACTTGTTGTAGTCTGAGGCAGCCCAGGACTTCACAGCAGAGTAAGCGCCATCCCTGCATGCCAGCTGACTCTACCTATGTGGGCTGCAGCAAAAACGAAGCAAGACAGCACCCAGTCCCTGCAATAGGCAGGCCACAGTGGTGGGAAGGCAGAGCAGAAGAGGATGCGTAGGCATGTGCAGGGCATTTCTGCCTAGAAATGTACAGGGCCAAAATCTGTATGATCCCCACTACAAGGCAGCTCTTCCTGCACGCTTAAAAACTCACAGGTTTGGCAACAGACGATAAGGCAGATTTTTATGGTCTCATGACCATGAGCCCCATGTGCATGCACCACTTCAGCGATGACTGTTTCAAGTCATTCCCCCTCTCAGCCATGCATCAAACTACACCCTTCTTTCTGCAGGCTGGCACAATTAATTGCTTGATTACTATCTAATGAGGACAGTGTAATGACCCAGCTTTAAAAATGAGAACACAGCTTTTTATAGCAATGAGGCCACAGTTCAAACTCTTCTGTATCAGGAATAGTGTGGCCAGCAGGAGCAGGGAAGTGATTGTGCCCCTGTACTCGGCACTGGTGAGGCCGCACCTTGAATCCTGTGTTCAGTTTTGGGCCCCTCACTACAAGAAGGACATTGAGGTGCTGGAGCGTGTCCAGAGAAGGGCAACGAAGCTGGTGAGGGGTCTGGAGCACAAGTCTTATGAGGAGCGGCTGAGGGAACTGGGGTTGTTCAGTCTGGAGAAGAGGAGGCTGAGGGGAGACCTTATCGCTCTCTACAACTACCTGAAAGGGGGTTGTGGTGAGGTGGGTGTTGGTCTCTTCTCCCAAGTAACCAGCGATAGGACGAGAGGAAATGGCCTCAAGTTGCGCCAGGGGAGGTTTAGATTGGATATTAGGAAAGATTTCTTTACCGAGAGGGTGGTCGGGCATTGGAACAGGCTGCCCAGGGAGGTGGTGGAGTCACCATCACTGGAAGCGTTCAAAAAACATGTGGATGTGGTACTTCAGGACATGGTTTAGTGGGCATGGTGGTGTTGGGTTGATGGCTGGACTTGGTGATCTTAGAGGTCCTTTCCAAACCTTATTGACTATGATTCTGTGAGTCTTTCCTCCTGCCTGGACAAAGCAGAGAGGGGTTCTCCTCAGATTGCTGCAGACAGGCAGAGACCCTCATGCGCAGCTCAGCAAAGGATTCTCCTTTAGCTCTGCAGCAGCATGAAAGAAGTTAAAACTCCCTGGACTGTGGCCATGTCTTAATTCCACATTATTGGTGCTGTGAGCGATACTAGCGGGGACTGTAACAAGCCCTTCAGAGAGTCTTAAAAAGCTGGAAGGTACTGTACGACTGCTACCAGGTCCCAGAAAAGGGATTTCAAACTAAACCATTGATCCCCACTGAAACAGGAACTGCTGTTTGGAACCTTTTTAAAAATCCCAACGCTCTTGCTACTGACACAGTTAATCCGTTATTTCTCCATCAGATCTTGGCTCACCCATGTTCCTGATGACTGCAGCTACACAGCCCCAAGCAAGTCCTCAGACCAAAAGTACTTTCCAAGCCAGTTTGAACCCTTCTGATGATGAGTATAAAAAACAAAAAAAGGGCACAAACTGAAATGTTAAGAAATTCTGTTTAAATATTTTAAAAAGCCCCTTTTTACTGTAAGCATGGTCAAACACTGGCACAGGTTGCCCAGGAAGGTTGTGGAGCCTCCATCCTCAGAGATATCCAAAACCTGACGAGCTGTGCCTGCCCAAGCCCGGGCAGGACTAGGTGATCCCCAGAGGTCCCTGCCCACCTCCGCTGCTCCGCGACCCTGTGGAGCTGCCCATCCCACTGAATCCAGCTTCCTGAGGAAATACTGGCACCAACAGTATTCACCTGCGGGCAGGCTACCGCACACACGCATTTCCCTTCCGGTGTCAGACCATCACCCTTCTCTTCCAGAGGAGGGTAAAAACCAAAAAACCTCACAAAGAAAAAGAAAAGCACCACAGGTAAGGGTCTGAAGTAGCTGCTGTTAAGATCAGGGCATGGCAATGGCTCCTAGTAATGGCTGTTATCTCAAATGCCGCACCAGCTGGAATTTAAGGTGGCCCCAAATCTTGGCAGTCTTCAAAGAGCAGAAGTACCAGTGTTTCCCAGCCGCAGATACGCTGCCACATGCCACTTTCTTCAGGCGGAGCTCAGTAATTACCTCCTCTCCCCGATGCACCCAAGATTGCTCCCTGCATCTCCCCGTCAAGTGAAGTGCTTCCCCAGAACTTCCCTCCCTCCCGCTCCGCCTGCCAGGTTATGTCCTCCAAGACCCGCGTTCCACGGAAAGGGCCAGGCAGCGGTGGTCCGAACTGCCATAATCCCCTTCGTACACCCCACAGATACTCCTGACTTTTGTCCAAGCTCCTTCTGCAACTGCTCTGCAGCTTCCGTGGGCCAGTCGGCCAGTGCAGCAGCAGCAGATACAGAGGCTGCAGAGGCCTTAAGTTTGTATCTGTAGCATTGTTGGCCAATACAATTCCTGTTTTGTGTTTTTTAAATTTTTTTTTTTTTTTTAAGTTCCTAATTTTTCAAAAGATCTTGTGTTCTATTCCAATCAATACAATGAAAGTTCCATATTCTCAAGCATGAGTTGGCAGTGATGCATCTAGATTCAGGAGTTAAAATCATTAGTTATCTGTAACCATAACAAAATGAAAATTAACTTGATCCATCAAAATGGCTGTCAACTCATAGTAAGACCAGATCCCCAGGACCCCTTATGTACCTTTGCAAGTATACAGCTTCACCGAGAAGACCCCTGCAATTTATTGTGGATGCTCAACACACTCTTAACAAGCTTCTGAAGCTAATGATGGGACAAAATATGCCTCCAGTAAGAGATGATGGTTGTTTGCTGATGAACAGGATTACAGAGGCATCACAACACCGTATTTTGAAATCCCTTGTTCAGATCCACTTTACTATTAGGACCGAAACAAAAATCATCATCAATTAGTCTGTTTCATAAAAACATACCCATTCTTCCTTGCACTTCACACAAATGCTGCTGATGCGCCAGCTTCCTCTTTGCTCTGGGGGTAAAAAGACATTTTATACTTTGAAAGGAGACCAAAAGAACATGATTCATTTTTTTGTGAACTGGTACTAGATGCACGCAATTGTGGTGAGAACTTTCACAGACCTCAACTGTCACATCTGATGCTTTTCTTCACAGCCAATTTTTATGATGATTTCTCACAAGGATGAAGAACACAGCAGATGAAAGCACAGGACTGTTACAGTCACTCTGGAAAGCAATGAAGTCTGCTTGCAACCATGTCAGCCTATGCATCTTAGTTACTGTAATTCCTTCTCTTCTCAGTAACAGGACACCCATGTAAGAGTGAATTTTTCTATGTTCGTGATGTTCATTGCTTATTTACCAAAGATAACAGGTTTAATCCTCTGCCAAGCAAGTGACGGTGTAAGAGCTGGGAATACCCAAAGTGATGAATAGCTGCTTTGTTTTCAAGTAGGTATGCAAGAAAATAGAAGAAAAGAAAAATATAACTGGTAGAGAGTTCACACACAGAAGGGTTTTTAGGGTACAAACTCATCTTTGTAGTTAAAAGTACAGAAAGCCCAAGCCTACAGTAATGTTTTGACTGGCAGATACTGGTATTTACACTGTATGACTTGGGGCTGATTACGGACATGTTTTTTTCAGTGCTACAAAACCAGCGTATTAAACAGAAAACAACTTGCTACATACCTCAGAATCAGACTATGTATCAAGATGAAAATATTTAACCAGCTGAACCCCTCTCATATGCTAACCTCCATGGTCTCGTCCCACAAACAACAGACTTGGAAGAGAAGCACCCTTTGTCCAGGAGCAACTGCAGGTTTGTCATCCAGAGGGCAGCTGCTGACTGTAACTTGGAAACGTGACATTTTTTCATTAGAATGAATTCGCATCACGCAAAGAGTCACCAAAACAATTTTATTTCCAGTGTTTAAGTGGGTATGCACACAGGCATGATACAGGTTTGGACTCATTAGGTCTTCATGCAGAATTATATTCTCGATAAAAGAAACCAGTTCCATCCAGTATCCACTATCTACACGCCTATGTTACAACATTTATATCAAATCTGGTATCTGAAGAAAAGATACACATGTAATATGTACATTTAAGTTACTTATTTTACAGAAAGATTAAAAATTCAAGTCACATAAAACTCAAAATCTGTATTAAAATTGGAAATATAAAACTCCAATATTTACTGGAATGCCTAAGGAATGGAAGCTCTGTAGCCACCTGTGTTAACATTTGTAAAATGTAATGAAACTCGTTAACAGTAAAATGCATTCATTTGTTTGTAGTAACTTTCTCTAATTTAACAATATGGCACCCTAACAAACCAAATGAATTTATGATGAGGCACTTGTTAGTGACTAAACCAAAAGAACAATTTTTCTGCATACTAATGCCAGGCCAACTCTCAGCCAGAAAACCATGTATACACTACACAGCATGTTGCATCAGATGCTTTGTTCAACATTTGTATGCAGCCATCAAATATACTTTTTCTTAAAATATATATATATATACTTTAACTTTAGTGTTCTTCTGGCTGTGGTAATGCACTGTGAAGACGTTCCACAGAGCATACTGATGAAACCAGCCCAAATGAAGGCTGCTAACAACAACAGTACAGGAAAAAATATATATATGTACACGCGCGCACACACACACACACACACACACAGTTACTGGGAAGTGTAACAGTAAGTTATGAATTGCTGTAGTGGACATATCTCCCCATTTCAAAGATACTGGTAGAATCGAGATCTAACCACTTGGGTCCCAGACAGTTTATGAGGATGGGCATCAACTGCTGGGCTGAAGTTGTTTTTGTTCATATTTTGATAATTTTCACCATTTACCTGGTCTGGTGGCTGAAATGGTCCCGAAGGTGGTGTTCTACTGACTAAAGTCAAGCTGCTGGAAGAACTGCCTTCATCTGCCTGCAAATCTGCAGATAAAGGCAGATCTACCTTTGATACATCTGCTAAGCTAGTGTTCTCAAGCCTGGGCTTTCCAGTTTCACCCGTATTAAGGTCAGTTGTGCTAGTGCGTAAACGTTCTCGTGCAAGCCAGTCTGAGATTGAGAGGTCCTGCGCTGGACATTTTGGCTTCAACCGATTCACAGCTGAAAGCTCAGATTCTCTCTCTCTGCTTTGATTTGGCTCTTGAGCTTTCCAAGCATTCAGGACACTTATTTCAGCGAAATCCCTCTGTCCTCCAAGCGTATGCCTTCGCCTGATATTTTTTCTCTTTGCAGTCTCTGCAGAGTTAGTTTTTTGATTCCCAACTCCAAACATGTCATCTGCAGATGATTTGAGCCGCAGCTTTAACCTATCTGTAATTTTAAGTCTCCAGGTAGGTTCTTGTTTGTCAGCCTCACTTCTGACTGATGTAGCTAAACTGCTTGTTGATCTTCCTTTTTTCATTATGTCAAACATTTTGGTCACAGTAGGCAAGTCCTTCTCACTCTTCGCATCCCCTGAACCCTCACTGTCCGTTTTGTGCCGTGCTGACTTTCTCCTTGACAGTGTATCACATTCAATAAGTTTGTGTGAGCTAAAAAGTCTGCGACTCTCTAACTTTGGTGTTGAACTTCCCTCAGTACAACTTACTTCACTTTCTTCAGAGTTCCTCCGACTGGTCTTTACCACTTCTGAAACTTTCCCCTTGGACAGCCTTTCAGCAGCAGCACTGGTGGCAAAGACAGGGAAGTCACTTTCACTGTCCGTCTCCACAGGACGCCCTTCGCTGATCAATTCACTTCTTTCATCATCAGCATCTTCTCCCTTGCTTTCTGTCACTGACTGCACCTCAGGGCTCAGCATACTGGCATCTAAACCAGTTAGATACATAGTAGATGAAGTAGTTGAATAATCTGAGGTGATGGAACTGACATCAGCTGCTAAAAACTCATTGTGTTTAATTTCAGGGCTGGCTACTTTTTTGCATAAGTATCTGTGCTGGGAAGCCTGGGAGGAAGTGCTAAGCATAGTGCTGGAGTCAGACACTGTCTCCTCAACCTGGGAAGAAGACTGTGAGATAGACATTTTTGGGTTATTTTTCTGTGTGGTTTGCAGACAGCTGAGATTCAGTGATTTTGTACATTTGTCATGGTAAGGCAGTGAAGTTTCCTCTGACAGGATACTTTCTTTCTTTAATGTCTTCTTTTCGTCCTTTACAACATTCACATCTTTTTTACTGCTGTTCTCTTTTTCCTTCAGGACAAACATCCTCTGTTTTCTCCCTAGGTCTCTCTCTCTTTCATGTTCCCCTTTAGCTATGTCCTCTTTTGTTATGTCACCATGAGATTGTTCTGCAAGCTCCTTCTTGAAAAACACATTATCCAACTCATCCTCTGAGCTGCTTGGTTGTGGTTTCTCTTTTGTTTTTTTCCGCTTGCGACTAGCTGCTGCAAAAATGGAGGACACAAGTAGTTCCTTGCTATACTGATCCTTTCCAGAACCCCAAGAACCCTGTTAAAAAAAGAAAAAAGGGAGAAGGCATGATTAGAAATCACAAAGAAACATTTGTAAGCCTGAGACTTTTTAAAAACATATCCCAAGCTACAGAGCAGAAAGCCTATCTTTGACAAAGACTAGTCTGTATATACAGCTATTTGGTTTGCGGTTGAGTAATAAAGCAGGCTCCATTACACCAAGACAACCTTTTCAAGATTGGTTTGCAACAGAAACTGCTTCACAGATGAGGTCCCAAAAGCGTGGTTTCAGTTCGTCCTTTCAAGGCATCTTACCTGTGTGGGAAGGCTAATTTCTCAAACTGTTTTTCAGTTATCTTTCAGGCTGTCTAAGTTTTTAAACCATATTGATTCAATATCAAAACCAATACAACGAAAGCTATACAAACCCCTAATTTAGGTGCAAATACAGGAAATTAACAGAAATAAACTTCTTCCTGCCTTTTGAGGAATCTGCCTTTAGAACTGCACAGAATAAAAAAATGGGACAAGCCCAATTATTCCATTTTATAAAAGTAATTTTAAAGTATTTTTCAACTGCACTGACATTACCATCTAGCCCCACCTCACAGCTATGCAGCTCTCCTGCTTACTGCCCCATTGTCACCTTTTAAAAGAAGCGGGAGGTTCAAGGCAGGTATCACCCCGTCTTTGGCTGCTGACCAGTGCAGTTTACATACTACAGACTTCAAGAAAAGAACACAGCAATGATATCTACTGAAAAGGGAAGTGGCTCTCATCGGAGGCCTCTGACATAGTAGGGCTGAATTCCGACATCTTTCTAGAACTCAACAGCTTAGGTGTCAGCTACCTGATCTAACATCCACGTTCAGATGTTTAGCCTGCCTCTCTGACCTAAGGGAAGCAGACCAGCAGTGGTGGGCTATGCTCAAAAAGTATTTGAAATCCCAATTGTTTGTTACTCTGCAGCACTTCAGAGAGGGAGAGGAAAAGTCGAGGGAAAAGCTATCATCATGGTAACAGTTTTAAGAAAAAAAGCTGGGACATCATTACTGAAAGGACCATCTAGTAATTCCAGATACCTAGATAAAAGAACAAGCTTAAGGACAAAGGGAAAGCTAATGCACACTAGTCACCATCTCACTACTCCGCTGTTGTCCAAAAAGGTGGTACTTTGCTCCGCAAGCACAGAATCACAGCCCCCATCTGACAGTGAACTGTTGCAGGATGGCTACTACTGTAGCATAAATGCACTGACCATACAAAGCAAAGCACTGAACAGATACAGTGCATTTAGTATTTTCCGCTCAAACAACTTCTTCTTGGTGCAGATGTCATTCCTATTTGCCATCTCCTCAGAAATTAAAGAGGTGCTGGCAATGGTGAAAACTGTCACTACAGAACTTCACAAGCCAAGGTCAAACAGCCATACAATAATACAGTGGCTATATTGACCATGACAACCTCAGTGAAGGTGCACGAATTTGTTCATGTGAATGTGGACAGGGAAGAGTTGGGAGAAACTTCTACTCAACCAACAGTAACAAAAATATTCATGGTTATCCAGAACCTCCTGCTGCATGACAGAGAATCTCCCATGTTCTTGATACAGAGCTCAGATCAGGACAGGGTTGGCAGAAGACACACATTAAGTCTTGCGGAGAGCGCCCAGGGAAACAAGCATCTGAGAAGCCTGCACAGTGACTGCCCACAGGCAGTGCAGACACCTTCTGGACAGCAGGTGACAGCTCTGAACCACTGTGCTGGCAGGCAGGTGCCAATCCAAAACTGACTGGCAATGGACCACTGGGTGTTGGGGCCTACCATTTTCCAAGTGACCACAGCAATTCTTCTCACTACTCAAATTGTGCTCTTGCATTAGCTACTGTCCCCATAAAGGACGGGTGAGCTCTGCGCATTTTTTCCATGGGTTGGGAACAGGTACATGTCCTTCTCACCACAAAGGATATCAAGCAATGCAGCCAGCTGGAGCTCCACTTGGAACGTGTCTTGCTGCAAGCAGGGCTGGCTGAACTGTAAGCAGGCCCAGGCAAGCTGCATGCATCCCACACTGCTGCTCGCAGGCCCATGACCGTGACCTGACTGATGCTGTTGCTCTGTGCCGCTCGCAGGTGGTGGTCGGTGAGAGGCAACCTGCAAACAGCGCACTCTCCTGGCACAGGCCATGCGACATGGTGTCCTGGAAGTTGGGATTTTTTGAGGCAGTGGCTGAGCCACCAAGCATCCTCAGAAAGCAGCTGTGCAGCATCTCAACAATGAACCAGGAGGATGCATTAAGTCCTGTTCTCAGCTCAAAGGGGGGCATCAGTGATACACCTAGAATGCACATAATAAATGTGCACAATTATGTTGTGCATTAATTAATGCACAATAAATAAATAATTTATGCACAGCATAAAGCTGTATTACGCGCTCACAGCTGACTGAAGTCAGGAGCATGCTGCATTTCACACAGTGCTACAGACATCTAGTGTTAGCAACTATTAAACAACAGCCTAAGGACTGAAAGATTTGTCCATGGGTCAGTCTGTTGTTAAACTGAGGACTGAACCACTTGCCCACATTGCAGTCTTATCCCCCCAACTACTAGGCTGCCCTCCCAAGCACAGCAATACTTCCTAGGGAGATTTTGCACTGCAACCTTTAACCACAACCTTTGGCTTCCTTTTAGAGGAGCTATTACCTTCCGAGGAAGAAAAGGCTGAAGTCTACATATACTTTTCTCAGTGAAACAGGGAAACACAAGTAATGTCCGGGAGTAAATAGTATGCCAACAATGACAGGGAACATACTATATACATTTACCTCTACTAAATGAGGTACAAAAGAGGTAAGCGCTCACAATTACAAGTTTGAAACAAAGCTGTTTATGTGTGCAGCTGACTGCTTTGGCAGATGCAACTAACTGCAAACAAGTGACACTTCTCCAATGTAATGCTTCAAAACTATTTGATGAGAAAACAGTATTACCACTTATTCAAAAAATTCTACGTAAGCTCTGTAGTACCTCTGCATATAAGCAATTTAATAAAGCAAGCAAATATCTAACATTTCAGAAGCATATAACTACATCATACCACAAAATGATTTACCTTAGATTTTGCTGAGTCACTAGTAGCTGAATCTGTGGAAAAATTAGAAAAAGAACACAATTCTGCTCAGTTCTGTGCAATTTTTGTTGTTGCTATAGACAATACTGGACTTATGGAAAAAGACAAGCACAGAACAAAATGTGAAGCAAATAAAAACCAGAACAGAGTGAATAGTCAGAGCTCACAAAGATGCAAGCTGCACCACAGAAAGCCACCGCCATGAAAGGATGCTGTGAATTGTAGGCAGAACCAGCTCAATGATAGGAATGGCAAAGGAGCCCTGTTCTTCTAAATAAAAAACAGAAATACTAACGTTTATTCAATGTTTTAAGTATACAGCCCCTGCAAAACCGCAGCTGAGAGACCTTTTCAGGATTGTACTGTGTACTCTCCTGAGATTCAGGATACACAAAGCAAAATCGAATGTCTCAGTACTGTTGGCTGCCCTAGGTACAAATCATGGTTCATGCAGTTATATTCTTTTTGTAAGCTTTTGAAGGAATTAAGTCATATTTTGTGTGTAAAACCCCAATTATACATCTCTTATCACCTCTGACTACATATAGGTAAAATTTTATTTTTAAATCAGCTAGATTTCAGCAGCTACCAGTTTTGTTCTTTTCTATAACAAGCACTATTATGAAATGAAAAATGGACACCATAGTTTTACTGTCTCGCAAAACCCAAGATTATACAATTACAAAGGGGGTAGGAAGGGGCTAGCACAATGACTAAAAACATGAACTGGGATGTGTTCCAGCTTTAGGGACTTTCTCCCTAGGAAGAAAGAGCTGAGCCCCCTGCCACACCCCTTTTTGACACATGGCTAATGCTTTATGACTAGAAAGACTGGTAGACCATACCATGCTATTTCTCCTCAGGGTCTGCTTCAGAGATAACAAGAAACAGCAGAAAAACTTTTAAAAAGTAGCATTGATCTGTTTAAAATACTCTTAAAAGAAAATTTACAGCACAGATCAACTTTTTTTTTTTCCATTTACAAGAAACGGGGGTTTCTGCAGACAAGGCAGCTACAGTGTGGGCAACAGTCCTCCTTCTTCCTACAGTTCCAGCTGTCCATCAGTGACATCACAGAATCCACTAATGACATCACCGTGTGATAGACTCCTCCCACTTCACCTGTTACAACATCAGTATAAAGTGACTGTTTCAGTACGTGCTGAGCAACCCTTTGAAAACTGAAACAAAAGCTAGAGGTGAAGGGATAACATCTGTGGGATACAACATGCTGGGTTAGTGCAATAGTATAGTGAAGGGAGGGGGGGAAAAGTCACCAAAAAAGAGCCTGCAACGCTTGTCCTTAGCCACACCAAGAGGATGGCATTTATAAACAGAAGGAAATCAGCTTTAGTATAGACATACTACAACATACTTAAAAGTGTCCATCATTTGGCAAGAAAACATAACTCAATTTTTTGCATTCCTAACGTTGGGAAGGAGCAATATTAGAATACCACTGAAGATCAGTCTTTCTGCCATCACAACAAACCACTTTACAGCAGCATATCTGCTTCACCTCACGATGATGATTGCATGGGTTACTGTGAATAAATAAAATAGTATGTGCAAGCCTCATCTTTTAACGATTATATTCCTGTTAGACAACAAAGTTTTCCAAATTATATCATGCATGATTATCAACAATTCAAGTCTAAGAAGTGTTAATGATCTTTTGGAAAAGAGAAAAACAGTTTATTAGTAAAAGAGAAGAGAGAGCTACAGTGAGTTAACAGAGTAGGCTATTCTAGCCTACGGACTAACACTGTCCGGGCAAGAGTTACCTGATACGTCTCCAGGAGATACTCCCGTTCTTCCAATGTTGGTGAGTAAATGATCTATGTTTGGCACTGGCTGAGATTCTACAGTGTTTTCCTCCTGCACTGTTGTCTATAGTTAATAAACAGAGATCTCTTCATCATCGTTTCACAAATAGTTAATTATGATTCAACAGCATTTAGAAAATTGCATTATTCACCTGAGGACACGCTTTCCTCACGTGTTCTTATTTTCCCGTTTTGTTTTACACTTTTAAAACAAATGCACGGCTTTATTTTATTAAAAAAATCATTACTGCAAGGACTGGAGAGCTAAAAACGTGCTTCTGAAGAGCAAACCATACAGTGATATAGTAAGAAATATAGAGACATTCTAGAGGCAGCAGAAGCAGATTCTAAACTAAGATAATTAGAACACAAATATTTATGACACAATACTTACAAGAGGTTCTTCAGCATCATCTTCTGTGAAAAACCAGTCATGCTACAATTTAAAATAAAAAAGGTGAAAACCCCACAAGAAACACAAAACCCAAACGTGGAACAATCAAACATGGACATCACTAAAAATGATATCCTGGAGTTTGAAGGATAAGTACCAGACCCAAACTGGCCCAATAAGAGAAAAGCTGGTCGATCTGTGTTTGATCTTATTTTTTTAAATAATGAAATGCATCCACTTACTTTTTGGATGAGTGTTTCTACAATTTTATATTGGTCTGGCATGTGCGTAACCATGTGTGTCATGTTATCATCAGATGTCCTTACGAGTGTTGGACCAAATACTATTGCCAGGTTTCTTGGTTCCATCTAAGAAATGAAACATTTTGACATCATATATTTATAATGAGAAAATACAATAATATGGGCTAAGTACATTAATATTACACTATTAGTATCTCAGAACCATTTTAAATAAGTACAAATAAAAGGTTTTTAAAAACATATTACTGACTCAGGTGAACGTTACATTACACTAAAACTCTCCTATACACAGCTGCAATAAATGCATCCAGCATTTCTGCAACTCAGAATTTAACATTCCCTAATCCATTGCAAGTAAACAGCTCCACAAGCACGGAAAACTCAGATATATTCCTTACACTTCCAGGGGATTTTTTTTTTTTTCTTTCCATAAAGACTGTTCGTTTTGTTTAGAAACACTGACGTTTTAAGATTTTTTTTTTTTTTTTAAATAAAAATGCATTGGTAGTTCCCTGTTTTTTTTTCCTGAAAATGTTTACATGACACACAAAAAAAATTAAGCTGATAATCAAATACTGTATTATGTCTACTGACAAAGAGCTCATTCAATTTGCAACTACTTCGGAGGTGGCAGCAGCAACCAACATCATAGATCCAACACATCTATTCATGAGACAGACTCAAGAGTTATCCGATAAGGTCACAACATTAATCATCCACTTAATTTACTTTTAATATTTTATCTCTGACAAAAATTCCAAGAAAGCAGCAGCAGAATAGTTAGCTCCTATTTTTGCGTACTTCTGTGACTTACAGCTTACTGTTGTGACACAGAATGGACCAATAACACATAGGAGGCAAGGTCCTTGTGCTTACCAGAAGGGAGTTGCAAACATAATGACACAAGCCCCTAATGCTCACTTTGACTTCAATTGTGGCCTTTGACAAGTCATACAATTATACTATCACCTCACTTACCAAGCTTTATATATTCTATAGCATTATTATTTAAACAACATTTATACGGCACACCAAAACCATAAAATGATAAGTATGCTTTAGGCATTGCACTTAAAAATTACATTTACTATCACTTCCTTATAATGTCAGCTATAATTCCACTAAAGGTTATAGTTTATTTATTTTCTTTATATAAATAGGAAAGAAAAATGTGTGTGTATATATAACTAGAAAGTACTATTTACAGAACTGATGTTGGAACCTACCATATTTATCTGAGCTGAGGCATTTTCTATTTTTAACTTATTTAAAATTGGCCATAGGCTCCTCTTATACAGCATTAATCACATACTTTTTTTCCTTCTACCCTGCACATTGGCAGCCAAGTAACAAGTCACCATGTTACCTGCCCTGAGGTACACATCCATAAGCACACCCATATTGTACACAGCTTTGCATTCAGCTGAGAGGTAAAAAAAGGGAATACTATTGTTTGCATTTACTCTGGGATTATAGCAGGCACAGAAGCACTTAACATAATCTAACTCCTCCCCATCCCATGAAAATGACAAAAAGCTATCTTAGTGGTGGACTAAGACCGTGGAGTGGTGAACTACCACCCTTTACATTATTAATTTTCTTTCTTAAAACCAGTCAAACCAGCATCTATACGATCATCAAACATTCAAGTAATTACAGCAAGTCCTAGTCTTAAAAATTCCTCCAGTGTTCAGGAAGCCAGGCTTCGCACAAAGCTGGTGTGACAGTCTCTGTCAACAGGTTCATTCAGGTCACAAACATACACCTGTACCCTGCCCAGGCACACTGTTATTGGTGTCTACAGGGGATTATATGGAATTTACAGTCTCGGGATAAATTTAGGATGTAAGCAGTTATTGCCACAAGAATTTGTCAGCTCATGGCTTAGACAGGTGTACTTTCTGCTGGGTAAAAAACTGGCTGGACAGCCGAGCCCAGAAAGTTGTGGTGAATGGACTTAAACGTGGCGGCCGGTCACAAGTGGTGTTCCCCAGGGAACAGTGCTGGGGCCGGTCTTGTTTAATGGCTATTGATGATCTGGATGAGGGGATCGAGTG